GAAAAGGCTCACAGACCGAAAGTTATTAAGTTTCCTAGCGAAACTTCGAAATTAATGACTATTTTCACGAAAATGACGTCGAAGAAGTTGGAATTACAGTTATTCAATTTGACCACATGGTCTGATGCAGCTACAATGAGCTTTTATGTGTTGTTGTTTTTTTTTAAGCCGACGTGAGCGTTTAATGAATATTAAAATCTGTTGTCTAAGATCGACTTCGGTGTCTTTTGCAGAAACTTGTAACAATAGAAACTACAATCTTGGGCGATAGTAAGACAATCATGGTCATCAGACTAAGAACGATAAAAGATAGAGAAGATAATTCCAAGAGTAACATGGGACCTGAATCATCGTAATAAAACAACGCAATAATGCGTGTAACTGTCAGAAGTCTTGACATCAGTGAAACTAGTTTTGGGCACATTCGTGCGTCCTCTTCAGTCTCACGTTGTCTCGAGTTCGAGACGTGGTACTACCAATCACGTTTCGCATCTTAAGATGTGCGCGTTACAAGAGTGACAGTCAATCCTACCATTCAATTGAATGCAGCCGATTCAGGCGGCTAGTGCTGTTGACTGATTGTCTTCCTTCTGTTCTAAGTAAGGGAAAGTCATGGCTGAATCAATGGCGTCTCTAGACATGGCCGTTTATCCCATTGTAGGCAAACACATCGAAAGATTGACAGGTATCGTGTGATGCATGTTTTTCTATATTCCAAAAGATAAAAGTTTAAACCAGTTGATGATTTTCAAACATCTCTACAAATCATCTCTTAACTTTCATTGGAAATTTTTTGTTTCTTGTTGTTTTTGCTAAGCACAAAGCAACGCATAGGGCTATCTGTGCTCTGTCCACCACGGGTATCTAAACCCGGATTCTAGCACTGTGAGGGCTTCATTGGAAGTACCTCTAGAAAGTTGTCAGAAAAAGCGCCATAAGTTCTGCATACGCAAACTTTGGCGTTCGCATTACAATAGCAAAATCGTTGAATAAATACATATTAAAAGAAAAATAGGCAAATTATCAGAATACTGTATTTGATACCGTGTTATCCAAATCTATGTGTAAAATATTGTTATCCAAATCTATGTGTAAAATATTGTTATCCAAATCTATGTGCAAAATATTGTTATCCAAATCTATGTAGTAAATATTGTTATCCAAATCTATGTGTAAAATATTGTTATCCAAATCTATGTGTAATATATTGTTATCCAAATCTATGTGTAAAATATTGTTATCCAAATCTATGTGTAATATATTGTTATCCAAATCTATGTGTAAAATATTGTTA